ATTCTGAAGCTTATAGTCATTTTGCATTTTCTTATCCAACCTTAAGTGTTCAGAAGAGGGGAAAAATTTAACAAAACCTGGAGAAACTTGAGGATCCTCAAAGGAACAGGGAAAGAAAGGCTGCCTTCATCTTCTCCTCTGCCAGAGCATGCAGAGAGAAGCACATTTCCTTCTGATGGTCTGGAGGTCTGAGCTAATCTTTTCCTACCCTGGAATGATGCTTGTGTCCTCTTGGAAGCGGACACTGTTTAAGGTCCCCACCCCTGCCCAGGTGTCCCAGGACAGGCACATTGTGCAAAGAGCTGTGCTGACAATAACACCTGAGTATTTTCCTGGGAAGAAGAGTTGCAGGACAGCTGCAAGGCTCCACAAGCTGCAGCTTGGATGCTGCTGCCTGCAGCTTAGCTGGACTCCCGTGCAGACATGAATGTACCTCTCCAGCCGTTTCCAAATCATCCTCTTCAATGACGTCTATTTTTCTCCCATTCTTGATCTAGCTCAGAGTCAATCTGTCTCCTCTTGCAAGGAATTTCACCTAGGTAATGGGATGCCAAGGGCAATTTAAGAGATTTTTTGGCAGAATATTTGAAAAGTACTGAAATGAAAGTGGAAACGTGAACAGAAATACCATCCTGCAAAACATCTCTTATTCAGAGGCACAGAGATCCAAGTCCTCTGCTTCTTCAAGTCATTCCCAGAATTTATATCATGTGAATGACACTTGAAGGATTATACTTGAAGGTCCTTCTTCCATTCCATTTCCCAGAGTTTTAACTAAAATCCATCACAGGGAAGCTTAGAAATCCTACCTGATAGCCAAAATCCAAGCAGATGACAGGAGCCTTCCCCTTAGCTGACACGCTGACCACACACTTGGGAGGGTCAGGGGATGTATTTTCTCTTCCTGGCTCCCCTATTACACGACATGCTGGGACAATGCTCAGGGCATCCTCTAGACTAAATTGCAGCCGTTTGATATTGCAGCAGTCCAGTGGGTACAAAACAATTCCTTCTTCCCTCACTGCTTCACTTTTGCTTCCAGGGCCCCTCTGCAGCATCTTGGTGAAGCGATTTGGCTGCAGGTTTGCAGTGATGCTGGGAGGCCTGCTCAGCAGCGTGGGCATGGTGTCCAGCTCCTTCTGCAAGTCCATCAGCCAGCTGTACCTAACAGCTGGCCTCATCACTGGTAAGTACCAGGAACAGCAGGAGAACCCAGCTGCTGGGCTTGGCTGGAGAGACGGAACATGGGGAGAGTCCCGACTAAGTGCTCACATTTTTCCACCCATCTGTGAAATAGGATAAATCAGAATCCCCACAGTGCATCAGGAATCCTATAGCAGCTAGACCTGCCCTTCACACCCCTTTAACACATACCTCATCCAGCCAAGCTCACTGGAAAGTGCCTCTCTCTGGAAAAGGCTGCAAGTCTCCAGGGGGCAAAATGGAGAGCAAAGGTGTCTGTTCTGTTTAGTAGCTTCTCAGCCTTTTGTCTTTGAAAAAGGGAGGGTTTTTTCAGTCTTGGAACGTAATGTGTTGGGACAACATCCTTCCCAAGTTCCCTGGGCTTGTATTTCACCACTCCCAATCTGGAGACATCTTTTTCTAACAAAAGAATGTGTTGGTTTTGTACAGAAATAACAGATGGGAACTTCTCCTTTCCAAGTATTTTTCCTATGTGACTGATGTTTAACTCCTGCTCTTTTCTAACACAGAGAAATTAATTTCTTCAGACAGGTCACTTTGGGACCAGTCCTGTTGGATCTTGCAAGCTAAGCTGTGTCCACTCCATAGAAAGATAAACAAGTAACTCCTTGAGCCCCAATGAAAGTGTCAGGAAAGAAGTGCTGCTTGTTGCACGTGGTATAAACCCCAAGTTTTTAATTAACAATTCTGTAGCAATTTTAGGAATAGCAGCACGTCCCAGACAAACATCAGCTTAGATCAGTATATGGAGTATACCTGGGAGCACAAGTGGTTTAATTTATGCACAACATCCTTCTTCATCCCTTGTGTGGGGTTTCTGAGTATTAATCACTGGGTGTTGTGCAGCCTGGCAGGTGAGGAAAGGCTTCAGTGGCAGATGAAGTCATCTGTGAATACACCCTGGATTTGGTCTCTTTTCATCTTTTAGACAAAGCCGAGGGATCATGTGTTGTTATTTTCTCTTTCATCCCTACCTTTAGGTCTGGGATCGTGCTTCAGCTTCCAGGCAGGAGTGACTGCACTGGGCTACTACTTTGTACGGTGGAGGACTCTGGCCAATGCCATGGCATCCACCGGCGTCTCTCTTGGCTTCACCCTGTGGCCACTGCTTTCTCAGTACTTGCTGGATGAGATGGGCTGGAGAAACACCTTTCTCATCTTTGGAGGAATACTATTGAACTGTTGTGTCTGTGGAGCCATCATGAGACCAGTTCAGCTTACATCAGGGTCACTACTACAGCCCCCCAAGCCTGGAGAGGATGCAGGGGGAAGAGCAGAAGATACACAGCTGTCCAACGGAGCATCTTCTCCCCACCCCGAGCTCCGGCAGCAGACCAGGAGGACTGCCTGCTTCCAGATGCTGCAGAAGTACCTGGCTTTTGACATCTTCTGCCAAAACAAAGGTTACCAGATTTACACTATTGGAGTGACCTGGATGATGATGGGGTTTGCATTACCCCACGTCTACCTCGTGCCTTACGCCATCCAGAACGGGGTGGAGGAACGCCGGGCAGCCCTCCTCATCTCCGTCATCGGCTTCATCAACATCTTCATACGGCCCTGCACAGGGCTGCTCTCAGGACACAGAGTTTTCACAGGAAGACGCATCTACCTGTTCAGCCTGGCTGTGCTCCTCTGCGGGCTCAGCAACTTCATCTGTGTCATTTCAGCCGAGTTCAGCGTGCTCATCACCTACTGCGTCATCCTCAGCATCGCCATGAGCGGCATCGGGGCACTCACCTTCCAGGTGCTGATGGATGTGGTGGAGATGGACAGGTTCTCAAGTGCTCTAGGGCTCTTCACCATCCTGGAGAGTATCACTCTCCTCATTGGACCCCCTCTCACAGGTGAGAGAAGCTATTAAAGCAGGCTGGGGAAAAAAATTGGTTGCTTAGACATTGGTGGCAAGTGTTTGGGAGCATAAAGAAGATTAAAAAGGGAGTTTCCAAACCTGTGCAGGCAGGTGAGTTATGCAAAGGGAACAATATAAAAGGGTGATTTGGAAAGGAACAATCAGCCCCTTCTCACAGCTGAAGGAGGATCCTTTCTGCACCTGCCCGAGTGTCACTGCAGTAACAGCAATGAAGGAAAGAGTTACCCTCTTGGTAGGCAGATATGATAGGTATGAGAGTGAAGAGAGGACACAGAAAGGAATTACTGTGAAAGGCTCTTGCTATGAACTCTTTCACTGCTTTGCCAGCTGACACTGTTTCACCTATGAAGTCTCAAAGAATTGTAAACATCGCATTAACAAATTAACTGTGATCAGAACTATCACCAGACCTACATTATTCAAGAGCCTTCTAGTAAAAGCTTCGGTTCACTCTTCTTTCTGAGTTCTGGAGTGTATTAATTTTTCTCTGGAGACAAGAAAGGAGCTAGCTATGACCCCAAATCAAATAAATTATTCACAGATTTCATGGTTCACTCCAAATGTCACTAAGTGACCTGTCCAAGATGCACCTGCTCCTGCAGTACAGCAGTAAATTCAAAAGACTTACAAACAAGAAATGTGAACTTGAGCATGAATTCTCAATTCAGGCTTTAGGTCTCTTCTGCAGACTACGGACTGTGGGCAGTTCAGCCGGGAAATAATGACTAAGAATGAGATGATGACATGCACCACTTTTCATGGTATTCCCTGGCATTACTGTCCAGTCACTTTTCTCAAAGTGCAAAACCAGGTCTTTTCTCAGCCATCTCTGATAGAAGTGGCAAATGAGCAAAACAAAATACAGTAAAAGCAGCAACATTTCTATTTGTAGTCCTAAAATCTGCTAAAGAAAAGCACACTATGAAAAGAAACATCACCAACTTTACTAAGGAATAAAAGCAAACATTATTCCAATATACCCATACAAATAGAGCAGCTTATAGAAGGCATCACGTATTTTACCTTTCTATCTCTAACATTAGTGTTAAAATACTCATTTGAAATATGACACTTTTAAATGTTTTATACTTAGGTGTTTAATGTTAGTCCTAATGCTTGCTTTGCTGGAAATTTTCTTCTCCCTGATTACACGCTATTTGAGAGAAATTTTCAGTTCAGACACCTTGACATGTCAATTTGTGAGAGATTTCTTTATTTGTTCTGTTTTCTGATCTAGGATGTAACAGGGTCATTCATTCCAAAACGCAGTTCATGGCAGTGGCACAGGAGTCCTCTGCAGAGTAAACCAAATGAATCAGCAGGTTGGGAAAAAGTTACTGTTTTCTTTCCTTCCTGATTTTGCTGTGTATTGAGAATTACTTTATACAGACATAGTAACATCACCTGAGTGGTGACTACAAAAAACCAAACCCCTAGAATCTAGAGAAAAGAAGTCAACTCATCTGTGAATGCTTATCTTTTGTACACAGAAGTTTGCTGAATGGCTTGGATTTAACATTTATGTGTTGCCCGGCTGCCTTTAGTAAGCATCTTCTCTTTGACTAAGCTGTGCCTTCTGTTTCAGGTCTGCTGGTAGATATAACTAGTGATTTCCACTATGTCTTCTACAACTCCAGCTTCTTCCTGATATCAGCTGCATTATTCATGGGGCTCAGCTTCTGTGCTCTGGAAAAGAAAAACAAACTGAAAGAGGCTTCAAAAGTACCTCTGGATAATCCCTCCAGACATCAATACAGCGAAATGCCGACTGAAACACTGCCTGAAAGTCAGTCCCCTCCAGCAGTCGTGTACATCACAAGCATATGAAAAGAAATAAGAACAAAAAGAGGAACACAAACAATTGCACGGCCTGTACAAAGCTCCACGAGGCCCAGCACTGATGGCAGATGAGGTAACAAGCGTCTGCTTTCCACAACTGTTGTCACCCTTCTGCCCAGCACCTGCACGCCATGGGGCCGTGTCAGACTCCACGTGAACAACCCAGCCCACAGGCTGAGCCCAGAACCCAGCGCCAGCCCAAGAGCCAGAGGACAAAGAGAAACGTGCTTTCCCAAAGGCAGCCGGGGGATAGCAGCAGGAAGGGACAAGACCTGTGGCAGCTCAGTTGGGTGAAGTCAGTGCCTGTCAGAACGGCTGGAATTCCACACGCACACGTCAGCAGGTACCACTGGGCAACAGATCGATGGCCTTGCACAACAGCAGTGCTCCCATGAAGTATTGCTGCCTCGCCTGAACACCCAATTTTGGTGCAGAAGATATGAAATTTCCTGGTTGCTTCCCGTGCTGGGGGTGGGAAGACAAACACTTTTTCCCATGGGAAGCGTGTTGCTATTTTCCACAACTCTAAATATTACATAGAGGCTGCTGCATGGTTGCAGAACTCATCCAAGTCTCTAGTCAGATCCAATATTTTCTCCTATGAGATATACACCAGTTCTTCTTGCCAAGGACATTTTCAAAGCCTCAAAGGTTCAAGTCGAGTGACAAAAAGAAAAAAAAAAAAACAACAAATCACCAAACCCTTGGAATGTCTGCTTCTTGATACATCATAAAACAGGATTCACAGCTTGTGAAAATACTTTACAGCATTAACTGTGACTCATTTTTGCAGAGAGGGGAGCAAAGGTGTTATCAGACCTAAGAATAAGCATATACATCCTTACGTTGGGCCAAATTCAAAGCCACTGTAGTTCCCCCTTGTGTAAACCAATTTAGCTCTTTAGACTCTCAGACTTGATTGCACCAGTGCTCTCACCATAGAGAACTTTGCACAGGCATAACATATATTTCTTAGAAGCACAGGCAAAACTTGCAAAGACATAAGTAGGGAAAAGGAGACAGAAGAGTCAGTGTTACTGCCTTTCATATCCACACGGCCTTGGCTGTAAGTGGCTTTTCTTGCTGCACTCCTGGGATTTACCCCTGCGAGCACTAAGATGATCAACCTCTAGCCTCCCTCAGCATCAGCTCCTGCTGCAAACTGTTATATTCTGTATCACTCCTGATCTGACAGAAGCAGATAACAGCTCACAAAGCCCCACAGATGAAGATTTCTCAACACATTAGAACTATCAGAAAGTCAACAGCATAAAATAGGAGTGAAATGGAAGAAGTAACAGCTTTCAACTCAATGGCAGTGCTTATCTTGAGAACTGTTATATCAAATTCCTAGCAATAAAAACAGTTTTCATTAGAGCTATGGACTCCCCAGACAAAACAAACCAACCACAGGAAAAAAAAAAGAAAAGAGGCACTGGATGAAACTTCTGGAAAATGAGTCCAAGGTCTTCAGAGACTGTAACAGCTTCACTGCTGGCTTTTACCCTGGGAGAGGCATCAGCCTTTTCAAAGGGTTCCTGCTCCCACAGCTCACTGTCTTCTTCAGGACTGCTCCAGCACTCCTGAACCAGCAGGCTTTGCAATTCCTGATCAAACATACACTTACATAAGATGACTAGTGGGAGATGTATCTTATCTCTTCTCACACACGTTTATTAACTTGTGCAATGCATACATGATCCATAAGTAAAAAAGTAAACAAGGACTGGTGCTTCTCAGCTCACCAGAACAATGACTGCTGTATGTTCCTAGGAGAAAGGTGGGGCTTTCTCCCTCTCAAAAAAAAAAAAGGGGATTACATGCCAAACCTCTTCTAGCCATTGCAAATAAAACAGCTAAGCAGCTGAACAGATTGCCATTTTTTCTGTGTGTAATTCTTAACTTTTAAATTCTGTTCACTTTTCTACATTTCCTTGCTGTTTTCTTCCAGAAATACAGGATCCTAGCATTCCAAATCTTCCCACTGCTGCAAAAGTCCCGGCCAAAACAGGCAAGATATGGTGTAAGCTACAACCTATGAAAATTTATCATGGGAAAAGAAAGGTTAGTTGAAGGAGCAATAGAATGCATCTCCTGTGTGGAGCCAACTGCTCTGCCTGCAGTGCTTTAGCCAGAGGTGGCTCATAAGCAAGGAAATGTATAGTCTTAATGTGTGCTTGCAAGATAGGAGGGAGGGGAAAAAAAAACAACAAAATGTACTCACCAACTGAAGCTGAGATCAGAGCTCCTACAGAGAGATCAGCTCCTCCTACACCATGGCAAAGAAATCAGTTTTGACTATTTCTGAGCTGTGCATGCAGCGCAAGATAATATGGGATGGAAAGTCAGGGGAGTTTTTCATGGAACTGCTTTTTGATACTCCCAGAATCAACATCAGCGTCACTGGGACTTATTTTCAGGGTCTTCTTCTGGGAAGAAAAACAATGAATTCACAAATCCATTACTATAATGTTTCTCAACTCGTTGACTAAAAACTTTCTAACAGCCTTATAGAATTTATGTTGCCTGAAAACAAGATTGCCTCCCCTGGTTACTTAGCATAGATCCTTTAGAAGTAATCCACAATCCACAGGCTGGAAACAAATCTTGGAGAGAGAAGAGGTAACGTTTTAGGCTATGTTTCCACAGGTAAATTAGATGTCTGAGCATCCATAATAGAGAAAACTACCCCCTTTGGGGTAGTTTGGGTTCCACAGCTCTCCTCTCCTACTTGTCTTTTCAACCTGAACTTCAAGCTGCCTTGAGTATGAACTTTGTAAAGCATAACTGAAGAGACCGTGCACACCGAGCATGCTACGGTATAATAAACATATCGTACAGGAGCAGTTATACTCACTCAAGAATCTCAAGGCCCAGAAGAAAAATAAAGCAATAAAACTTCATTAGTTTAAAGTCATCCTTAAAACAAGGCAACCACAGCCCCCCAGAAGCAGTTTTTTTTAACACCTACAGACAGCAAAATAACTCTGGCTTTAATTAAGGACAAACACTAACTAATACCTCAGCCAGGTTATAAACCTCTGAAAACCAGCAGAGCAACAAAAAACTGAACAGAAATAAATGCCCCTCGCTCCCCATGTCCCCTTGTACTCCATCGTTTAAAGTATCATTAACCTTGCAAGCTAAGCATTTTTGCAACAAGCACCTTTCCTTACCGTAATGAAATATTCACCAGGAAGTTCACACTGAAATATTGCAGGATCATGATCCTTAAAAGCCTTAGATACTCTGCCAGTGTAATGCTTGATAAAGTTCAATAAAAAACCAAGGAAAGGCCACAGTAAGCTTACACACTGAAACACCTGAGAGGTACGAAGCCACTTAAATTAAGAGCTTGGCATGCTGTCTGCAGATCTGCCTAGGAGAGAAACCTAACTACTAGAAATGAAAATTCAGGGAATTCCAGTTTTACTGTGCTCTCAACATCAGTGGAAGGGCCCTGGAGCTGTGAATACCCCAGCTAGGCTGGCCCATCCTGTGCTAACTATTCCAGCAAACAGCAAGTGCTCGGAGCATTCAGAGGATTAAACAACACAGCCAGTGCTGGGGGAGTAACCAACCAACTCTGCCTGCTGCCAAGTGAGCCTTCTGGATGATCCACAGCAAGTCGGCACAAAGACAACGAGCACAAAGCAGCGTGTGTAATTTGTACTAGCATGGTCTGCAACTCCTGTAGAAAAGCTCTGAGGACTAGGAAACCAGGGGATGTTACCAAACTTTCCTCCAGGATGCAGCTCCAATACAGCAAATTAAATATTAAACTGTTTCTCACATCTCTTAACCAGCTTTGATTAAGCTCAATGCAAGACAAATGCTGGAGGGAGCACAGCTCCCAGGAAGACAAGTACAGGCGTTCTCTGCTCCTGGTTAGTCCTTGCCACACACGGAATAGTGTGACCTGGAGATGCATCCCCTGGAACCCAACCAGCACAGACACCAGACTTCCCTAAACACTGCTGCCTGTGAAACCACTCCAGGAGACAGTTCCCACTCCTGCTGTGCATGCGAAATTATACTGACCACAAAGGTAGTACTTACAAACATAAGTCATCACATTTTTCCCTTTTGAAATACTGTTTTTCACCTTTTATTACTCAATCCCAGTATCCTTAATCACTTCTCTTTGTATTGACTAGCTCCTCTTTTGTTTTCTCCTCTTTTCTCATATTAGTCATTTACTTGCCATGTAATGACACATGTGGCTTTAAAGTATGTCAACACTTACCACCTAAAGCCATACATTAGAAGAGATTTGTTCACACACTAACAAAACATTCTAATACAGAAACAGCCTGTAGTGCCTTTGCAGATCATTTTCAAACACATGCACACATATACATGTATCTATACATACAGATCTGTGTACACACATACATAGATACACATTGCCTTCAGCTGATAATTACGATGATCTGGACTTGCTATCACAAGCCTGGCTTAAACTTTTATACTAGGTAGAAATAAATACGTCCAGTTTCACATTCTCTCTCTTCCCTCACCATTGCCATGTTAAAACACTTAGTATTACTGCATTCAGTGTAGCTTCTTCACTCATCTTTCTATTCAATATTGTCATGGTCAGACAGTTTACTACACCCAGCTACATGGTAGGAAAGATTTATCATCACAATATACCTGTCAGGGTTGCCACATATTTGTTGCATGTTCAATCTGCTTTATATGAAAATCAGCTGTGTTTGAGTTAATACAAAAGACATTATCTGCTCACACTCTGTATTCTACCTTATCTACAGAAGTTCCATGCATTTAATTGCTTCAATAAAAGCAACATACATTTCTGCAGAGTCCACCACTCCCCAGTTTATGCTGATTACATACCTTTAACTTACATATTTAGATGATGTGAACCACAATTGAGTCCACTTGCAGTGCTTATAATCACAGTGGTTTCACTGGAACCACGCTAGTTAAGAATCATGTAATTGCTTTGCTTTGGACTTAGACCA